GTATAATGATTACGGATAGGAGACGAGGAGGTGGTTCATTGAAAGCACATTATCCTGAAACTTTGAAAGCATTATCTACCTATCGACATTTCTTTTCTGATCTTCTCCCTTATTATTCATGTTGTGGTACTTCAAGTGAAGTACTTCCTAATTGTCAACATTATATAAGATATCGCCCTTCAGGTACATGTGTCAATTTGATACCGATACAGACAGGTGGTAAGGGTGATCCACATTTTTCAACATTAGATGGGAATTCGTATACATTCAATGGGCATGGTGAATATACGTTACTCAAATCGATTGACAAGCAATTCGAAATTCAAGTGCGACTTGCTCCACTCGTCAATGAATCGGTCAGTCCTACATCGATGAATAATGCGACAGCTATTATTGCATTTGTCATTCGTAATGAAGATCAACCACGTGTTCAATTTGAACTTTTTCCAAAACTACGACTAATAGAAATTCGAATAGATGAAAAATTATTAGAATTTACACCGCTCTCTGAACAAGATGAACTTTTATCTTCATCGTTAATCTATAATGATGATCGTCAAGTGATCATTCGACAAAGTGATGTCAATAAGTACAGTATATCATATGGTGAAAGTGGAATTCAATTTATTGTCGATGTTCGACCACAGTTTGATTTTCTCGATTTAATCTCTATCATACCTAGTACATTCAAAGAAAAGCGAAAATTTCAAGGTATACTCGGTAGTTTCGAAGGTCTCACCTATCCAAACGGAACAAATGTAACGGCAAATTTAAATGACGATCAAGTTATGTTTAGTTATGCTGAAATATGGCGTACAACCAGTACATCATCACTTTTCTATTATCTTTTGCAAGACAGTCATGGTCAACACCAAGATTTAAATTATCGCCCGACGTTTCAGCAAGACCTTTTTAGAATGTATGCTAATACAAGCCGATTTGAAATGGCCAAAAATGTTTGTCATAATATAAGTCGTGAACAACAATGTATTTACGATGTTTTGATTACTAATGATCCCACTGTCAGTCAAATGCATCAAACTTATGAAACGACTATACAAGCATTAAATGAATACGTTGCGTTAGTTATAATAGATATAGAAAATGATAAAAGCACGTCAACAGAAAATGACGAAACCACATCAATAGAAATTGATAAAACTACGTCAACAGCAAATGATAAAACTACGCCAACAGTGAATGATAAAACTACATCAATGGAAAACGATAAAACTACATCAAGAGAAAATGATCAAACTACATCAACAGCCAATGATAAAACTACGCCTGCAGAAAACGATAAGACCACGTCAAAACTAGAGAATGCGGCAGCAAACTATTTTGGGAATGAAATCTGGAAGGTGACTCTTTTAGCACTGATCGCTGTGCTTCATTAATTATCAACATACTTGACTGAGGATTTTCCTGATACGAACAACATTTCTCTGACATATAAAGACAACATTTAATTCTTCTGTATAATTAATTTTTCTATATCAAACAGCAGTTCTGCAATAATTAAAAAAAGACTAGCTCTCAAACTGACTACTTGTGAAATGAATATTGAATAGAACTTGACTCGTTTTTAGCATTGCATCAAAGGTCATTTTTTCGAGCAATGTAAATCAAAGCGTAACGTGAATAGATTATCATATCGAAAAAAGCGCAAAAAGTCGTCGATTAATCACGGTTCATCCACATTTTTCTCATTGCCACTCATTTGTTTTTTACAATCAAACCTGTATTTCCATGCTTCGTTTTAACTTTTCCAATTTATAAAAATTGCTGTTTTTTTAAAAGAAAAGGTAATGGACAGGCAACGTGAGCAAAATTTTGGCAGTTATTGTTGTTGGTGCATAACGAAGAAGAGAGAGAGAAACACGAAATATTTGCTCTGTTTAATCAAAAATTATTATTCGAGCATCTATCTTTCGTTACATTATTCTCTATTTTTTTCGCGTCACTTTTTCATATGTTAAGTAGTCAATGGGAGTGTGGATATGAACGAATTCCTTCACTTACTTGCATCCACATTCTACCATTTCTCAAATTTGTTTCCTTCGATAATGTTCAGGTTTGTTTGAACGAATTAAATCAAAATACAAAATTTATCAACAAATTAATTCATTTTTCAGCATGTTCTGCTTTGATAAACATCAATGATTGTTGTTTTCTTATATCACTGCGATTCCTCTTTCGAATCCAACATGATTTGGCTGTATACTTTGTTCTATACTTTAGGCGACTATACTATCTGTGTCAACACTGCATCGACATTGATTTGTCGTCATGAGAGTGATTACTGGTTATACAATCGTGTTCATCATTTACGTTACAATCTGCTGATAGATCGAGAGGGATTGTTCGTTGACTAGATATTAAGAGCATAAGTCAACATTTCACTGAGAAATGGTTCAATGATGAAGAGTGCATCCAATAGTATGACTCACCACTTGTCATGCACTTTCAAGTGCTGAAAATTCTAGTCGATAATCAAAAGAATAGTCTATCTTCGAACATTGGATGCTGTGTAAGCAGATATCAGTCAGAATTGCTCATCGACTTAATATGAACTTACTCGATGGTCAAAAGATCAGATGTCATCCATTTGAAAGATTGAAAGACAGTTGAAATCTATTCGAATACAGATTCGTCCATGATTAAAAGATAGTTCGATAGACATTTGATTTCGTAAAATGAATCGCAGACAAGGATTTTTTAATGGACTGTAAACTGTGATATAGGAGTGAAGCCAAAGCTAAGTCTCGGCTGCTAGATGCATTAATTATAAGATTGTATAGATGTCTACAGTCTGTCAGAATTTTTTTTTCTACATAGCAGAGTTTTTCCTATGAGTAATCATATACGAAATGGAACTAACATGCGAAACTCACATACAACTATCCTAAAGACTACAAATTGTATAGCTGCAGTAATATCTTTAAAAATAGGAATAGAATGAAACTAATGCATTTTAGTCATTTTCTACACTTTTCAATCACCTAGATGCTCTTCTTTTCTTCTTTGATTGTTTCTATGTGAGATCCGCCTTAGTAGTACGAAGTCAAATAATTCTACAGAAAAGTCTTCTTGTGAAATCGAGTGCCAATTCATCTTATGCGCTTATTTTGAACACAAGAAACCATCAGAATTTATTAAGACAAAATTGACACAAGTGGTAGATAAATCGACGAATTACTACACGTATCGTCGACTGATTCGACTGAGAAGAATGTTGATGTAGGTATTCTGCTTATTTTCCTTCGAATTCACGCTCACCTTCTTCTCACTAGAGAATACAGAAAATTTACACTGAGAAAACGTCTAAATATGATGAATGCAGTCTCACATCCAACTTTGCATTGTATCAAAAGTACAGCGTAATCGATAATGTCGACCAAGTAGCTGTTGATGTAGTTGATGTCGGAATAAATGTAGACAACGAAGTCTTTTAGAAAAGGCTCAATAGGCAAATCTAATATGAAGTGAAAAAATTTGTTGTAAATGATCAACAACAGAATAAATAAGGTTTACAGTACATTTCGTAGGTTGAACATTATCATCAACAATGCGTGAACGACACTAGATCAATCAACCATGTATTTGTTTTATGAAATAATTATATAATAGCTTATTAAACTCATGTGGTTTAATATAGATAAGATGAAGATGTTGAAGTAATATTGTCTGATGGAATTTCAGAGACGCTGAAATGAATGATCATTCACCAACAATGTAACTTAATGTCATACGTAACGAGATAGCATGTCATCTTACTAATTTCAAAACATTTTGACAAATATTATTGAACATCGATAATGACATTATATTATCACCAATATGAATGTGCCACAGCTACTCATATATCATCATTATTGATAAACGTTTATTCAACAATGAAAATGATTGAAGATAATCAAACATACTGACGCTCATCTTTTTGACTTGTTTGTCTTTATTCAGTTTTATATATACTGACATACACAATATTATACAGATGTGGGTGTCTTTGAATGAGCATTGTTTTTCAAATTATAATAATTTAAACTATTCTGCAATAATTATTGGAATGAAAATAAAATAAATATCTTTTCCAAAATTTAATTCTTCTTGACAATAAAAAAAGTACATTAAAACGTATATAAAATTGAACATGTTTCAATGATTAAAAGCCAAACATAACTAGCGTGTTACAATTTCCAAACGAAATTTTAATCATTCGAAATTCTAACCCATAGATACCTAGTAGAAGCATACAGATCTATGGTGTAATTTTCATTAGATTTCGGAGGTGTGCATATGACAGTAGAACCGTGAATACTATTTGAAATCGATCGAATATCATACGTTATAAATACTAGCTGTTGAACGTATGGGATTGGGAATAGATCTTCTTCTCACTCACACTCTTTGTCTTATCATCATCTAGAAATTCAAAAGAAAGATTTGTACTATTTCGAATTCAGTTTAAACTTCTCATTCGATTACAAAAGCATGCTTACGTTTGTCTATTCGTGCTCTTTCATGTTACCTTTTTATTAATAACAGCTCTGAAGAAATGTCTCTAGCGCTAATGGTTTCAGGGTATCTAGAACAACTTCACATAGATATATCATAGAAACATCAGTTCTAGTAAAATTCATAATCCCGAAATATACGTGTTTCAATTTTGTGACGTCACGTCGCTAGCAATATTGACGATAAGTCTGTTGTCTTGAAAGATTTTTTTCTTTCATCCTGACAAAACAAATTCAACATCTTGTATTTAGGCGCACTATTTGCTCTGTCGGCGAACCTCTAAAGTACCCACAATCGTTATTCAAATAATGGTTGCATGAGAGCAGTATACAACTTCTAGATAAATATCACTTAAAAGTAAGTCAAATGCAGAAAGAGAAAAAAAAATATCGATTGTTGAAGAAAGCTTTTTCTTTCTTTTAGTTTTTTTTACAATAACATACAACAATCAATGCTATTTTTTTGGATATTGTAGCATAAAAATGTGTTCGATATTTTGTTCAAGAAAAGGTGATGTAATTGAACCAAAATCAGTACCACACTACTTATTTCGACAAGTATGAATAAATGAGATGTTTGTTGTTTTTCTTCATAATCAATGTTGATTTTTATATTTCATTAATAATGAAGTTATTTGAACATCAATCTTCAACTTATACATATCTGTTGGCTGATTTAACAACTAAAGAGGCTTTAATCATTGATCCTGTTGTTAATACTGTTGAACGTGATGCGAAACTTATTGAACAACTTGGTCTAAATTTACGATATGCAGGTACTTGAAAATTCGATTTCTCAAGCAAGAATCTATAATCATCATTGTCATCATTATTTTTTGCTTTTGTTTAGTCAATACACATGTTCATGCTGATCATATTACAGGAAGTGGAGAATTGAAAAAAAAATTTCCTAATTGTAAAAGCGTTATTTCGAATGAAAGTGGAGCTAAAGCTGATATTTATGTAAAAGATAATGAATTAATTAAGATTGGTGAATCAGGTAAAACACCAGTGATACTTGAATGTCGAGCAACGCCAGGCCATACAAATGGTAAGTATAATTTATAACAAAAAGAAACAAACATCAAAATTGAATAATAAAAACATAAATAAAGGTTGTATGAGTTTTGTTTGGAATAATTATGCAGCAGTTTTTACTGGTGATGCTCTTTTAATTCGGGGTTGTGGTCGAACTGACTTTCAGCAAGGAAGTTCTGATAAACTTTATACATCAGTCAAAACGAAAATATTTACATTACCTGATCATTATAAAGTTTATCCAGCGCATGATTATACCGGTATTTATGTTTTAGTCTTTATTTTGAAAAAAATTTCAAGTTAAATTCATTTATGCAATTATTTAGGACAGTTATACTCAAGTATACTTGAAGAAAAAACTCATAATCCACGATTGAATAAGTCACGAGATGAATTTATTCAAATAATGGCTGATCTTAAACTTAGTTATCCGAAACAAATTGGTAATAGAAATGCATTTTATTTTTTCACTAATACTCGATTTCTTTTTTAACTTATTTTTGTATTTAGATAAAGCTCTTCCTGCAAATCTTCTATGTGGTTTACAAGACGATGTTTAATATTTTTCATTCTTTTTTTTACAACTTATCTCAATACATGACCATAGTTGTGTTATCTAACTAATGGGCCATTTAGCTTATATTCAGAGCATTCTTATCAATAATATGAGAAAAAATAATCATAAAAATGATTTCAAAGAGTTTCGATACGGCATAATCTGTTCTACAATACATGTCAACTTGAATTTTCCTATTTTTTTCGCTAATTATAAAATCAAGCCAAAAGACAAGTTTCCTGCCTCGGTTTTTATCAGATGTCATCGGTTTTAAGATTGTTGACGTACTCTATGTTAACTATTTTCCTCCTGACCCACACTTATCCACCATCCACATATCACACCACACTCAACCCATGCTTATCCACTCAACCGCCCACGCCCCATCTCAAAGCCACACCATCAACCAACAGAAAGTAGTCTTACACAATTGTAAAATCCTTATGAAGTTGTTGTCGATAAATAGAACACTCTCTATGTAGCTGATTGCTCAAATCATCGAATCAGGTATTGATCAAGGAGCCACACCGCGAAGTGTCATTACCGGTGAAAACGGCCGAGCAGGGCACTAGAATCAATTAAATGGTCGTTTTGGTTGATCATTCGATTGTCACGGTAATCTCAATCTTGTCGATTTGAATGATTACTATGCTAACGGATTTCCCATCCAATTAACTCACCATGATGATTGATTGTAATTTATTCTTTCTCGGAAATAAATCGTAGGGAATGAGAAAAAGAAGAACTGACGGCTCTTATATTCCCACGAACACGCGATAAGGAATAGATGAGATGGAGTGTCAATGCTACTGTGAAGATGTGGGCGTTGATTTAGAGGCCACATAAACATCCAAACTGACACTGACACCCTCATCTCAGTCCCATATTTATATCTTCAACTCTTCTCAATATGCCGCACATTTCGAATACAACAGTTCCTCACTGTTAGATAAAATAGACTAATTAAGATAAAGAAAATAGTGTTCTAGTTGGCTTTGGCGAATAGGCGTATTTTTATCCAAATTCATTTGAATGTATTGATTGAGAATCAAATTTTTTCAATCAAACCAGTGTGGTACGCAAATGTTCGTGCCTGTAAACATGATAAAGAAAAAGACAATGTGTCTTGACAACACATATCTAGCGGGTAGATACGCAGCTGTCTGTCATTTCTATGATCAAACGTATATAAGCCTATGCTGCTCGCTCTTTATCTCTTCTTATTCTTTATACAACATCGTTTTCTTTATGGTCTATCGTCATTTAAAAGGATTATGTCCCGTAAACGAAGCTTCTTTGTGTTGTTGCTCTTAATCGACTGCGTCTTCACACAAGAGAAGTTCATTGCACTCATCGGTAATATCATTACACCAGACAAAAGTATTGCCAATGGAACTTTGTTGATCATCAATAAACACATCGCTGCGGTTGGAATCCATGTCGCCATCCCAAAAGATGCAATTGTCCTACACACAAATGGCATTATCTCACCTGGCTTGATCGATCTGCACAACCATCTTATGTGGAACGTTCTCCCGCGCTGGAATCCCATTGAGCAATTTCGCAATCGGTATGAATGGTTGAATGGACCACTCTTTCGAACTTATTTCAATTCTCCGTACACAGCGGTTATTAATGAAGGACTCGAATGCGCAATGCAGCAGTACGCCGAGGTCAAAGCAATCACACAGGGTGCAACAAGCGTCATTGGTAGTCTACTTGAACCGTGCAATTACGGCTTGGCGCGCAACCTAGACGACGATCCAACTCTTGGCAAAATTCTCTACAATGTCTCTCCTCTGGAAATGACAGAAACCGAGGCGAAAGAGGCGAAAGATGTGCTTGCCTCAAACGGATCTTTCATCATTCATCTAGGAGAGGGATCGCCGAATGATGCAGCGTCTGGACGTGAGTTCTCCATGCTCAAAAGCCGCGGATTGCTAATTTCAGGGGTTTCTCTCATTCATGGTGTTGCTCTAAAAGCCAGCGACTTCAACGACATGGCAAAGGCCAATGTTGGTTTCGTCTGGTCGCCACGTAGCAATCTGGAGCTTTATGGTCAGACAGCGAACGTAGAAGCTGCGAAAAACAATAGTGTAATTATTGCACTTGCACCTGACTGGAGTACTACCGGCAGCGACGGTCTTCTTGCCGAACTGAACTTCGCTGCGACATGGAATGCGGGCCTGGAACATCCTCTGTTTGATGATCGCACGCTAGTACAAATGGCCACAACTAATGCCGCCAAACTCGTTCATCTTGACAAGCAGTTGGGTTCATTACAGGAAGGATTTCTGGCTGATGTGCTCGTGCTCAATCCAACTCAATTGGTTCAGTCGAATAAAGACGCATATTGGACAATTACTCATTCAACACCCGAAGAGGTCGCCTTGGTAATGGTTGGTGGCAAGCCTGTATACGGCGATCCCAAGATAATGAAGCAGCTGACAGGAATGACGACTACACTTGAATCAATCGAGATTTGCGGTGTGCAGAAAAGCATATCCTTTGTAGAAGAATTTGGCGGAAAACATACATTCCATGAAACCGAAACAATGCTTCGTGCTGCATTTCGCCATTGGAGTCGTACACTGGCTTCACTATCGGATTGTGGAACTTGAATAGATGAAATTATGCGCTGTAAAAGAAGCCGATTGAGAGCTAGGTATTAGATTGGCACCATATTCAAACTCTACTATTAGTAGAAAAATAAAAGCACTATCTCATCTCGGAAAATATAATGCACACCTATTTAATCTGACGTTTTCTTCCTCAATAAACGAATTGCTTTCACGTAACTTCATGTATTATATCAAGTTCTCGAGCGTTGTCTTCTCAATGATCGTTAAAAGAGTGTTTTTTTTCTCAACAGTCTAAAAACCCTTCACAGAAACTTTTCATCATTGTCTTCCTTAGGCTTCATGAGTACTGTTCCAATCTTGGGTATGGGTATGGATGTGAATGGGGTGTGGGTGTGGGTTTGAGGGTTTATCTTATCTTCACTTAAACCCACACCCACACCCAGCATCGTAGTCGATCTATTCTTAGATTTTCTGTCAAATATGATCATCAAAAATCGTCATATGGAATGAAAATAGTCGTTTTTGTATTTTTTTCATGAGATGAAGAGAACCTACTGGATTTTCTAACTTTCATGAGTAAAATCAAAATTCAGATGATGCAGTGAAGCAAGCACAGAAAGAGAAAGAGATTTGCTACCAGAATTTAGGCAACATTATTTGTACGATAAATTGATGACGGCTGTTAGAAGTGTTTCACATTGCTATCTCATAAAACATTATCGAACTGCACAGCTGAGATTCACTCGAAATCTATTGAAATTCGACATTTTGAAATGAATATCAAAGACGATTTGTAAAAAATCAAACAAAGGAAACGGAATGTGACGTATAAATCAATGATTGTTCGTGATTAAAGACTTTTCTTGTTCTTGCCAGTTATTCAAAGATATGATGCAATTTGTGATGTTTATAGGCCGAATGTTTAGAAAAGTTTCAGACTATTCTAGAAATATCTTTCAATTAATCTCATATGTAAATATTCTTCACGATCACTGCCACATGTCAATAATCTCAATGCAACTCTGATAGTCAACAATAGGTTACAAAGAAGGACTGATCTTCGAAATGACTTGAATTTCGTTTATGTTATTAGCATATAATCAATCTTATTATTTTTCTTTTCAAGATGAATCCTCAGACAACTCATTTGATTAATTTTATTTCCTACAAGTTCATTACTTCCAACATAACAATTATGATGCGGGGTGATTTATATAATTGTTTCGATAAACAAATGTATTTAGATGATTTGAATAGAGCGACTTGCATCTGATTATTAATTGATTATGTTCTCTATGTACTTTTAATATATTGTCTAAGTTGGCTGGAATATTTCAAGCTTAAAATTTAAATTTGAGATGTCATTTTTATTGATCAATTTTCTTCAATTATATAGAAATATTTCGCCATATATTCATGTTTCTTGTATACCTATTTTTAATTTACATTATCGAACAAATAGATTATTATATATAAGATTATTATGTCTCTGTAATTGTTATTCGAAAATTTTCTCAACAATCGCTCTTTTCATCAAAGATTGACGAACAAAACACTATACATCAGAATCTTCTCTATTGAATAGTTTTAGCACATGTTTGAATAGAACATACTGCGTTGAAGTGAAAAAATGCCTAGTCAATATACAACTGTGAATATAGTCATTTTTCGTTCTGTCCAACTGTAGATGTGTTTTTGTTTCGCGACACATAATTAACTAAAAAAAAGTAATAAATATAAATTACGTTTTTCGACTCAATAATAGTTCTCAAAAGGGAACAATTTTGTGCAGTTATACAGAACGAAAAAATAAAGATGTTTCGCGATGAAATCGAACAATCGTGATTTTTGAAAGCTCTTTTTTTGAAAAATCTACTGATGAAAATTGGAGAGATACTTTTTCTGCATACCTCCATCTGCTCTATTCAATCATATATAAAAAATGGCAAACGATCATATGGAAATTTTGAGTTAAATGCATCTTATTCGAGACGAAGGAGTTTTTTCTTTTCTCTTTTATTTCTTTTCCTTCGCAAAATAGTCAATGTGAATATTACTTAATTTTATTTCTGCTGTGTTTGTACAACTCGTCACTTCTCATGCATGTCTTTCATATGAAGCATCAATAAAAAAATAATTTGTCAAGTGACGAGTAAGAAATTAGGGTGTAGCAATGACGGAATTTATTAAAGTCAATTATCATTTATGGTAGAGACGAACCATTTACTTTAAATTTAAAATAAGTTAAGGATCGCTACTGAACTCTTAAGACTAATAAAAGATAATCAGCGGTTACAAAGTTATTTCTTTATAATGTATATTAGATATCAATTTTCATGTTAACTATTCAATTCACCTAGCATGAAGTGTAAATGATTACGTTAGACAAATATCATTATACTTTCGATAATTCCGAACTACATACAATGTTTTCTCCCTCTAAGAGTAAACAAAAAATCGTTCTCAAATCTGATTGTTTGAAATAGAAAATCTTCTATTCAATCCAATTTAGGAAAGATATTTTTACGTTATAGAATGTAAAAAATATTGTGTTGTTCATACTTACTACGGAATTGTCAGAAAATTTCTTTTAAATAGCTTAGATAACAACATGTGTTAAGTTCTTACTAGAGTAGAAAAAAAACTCGAAATTATATAATTTTTTTCTTAACACACTTAAACTTTATGCAAACTATTATTGCTTTAAACGCATATGAGAAAAACTGCAAATAGATAATAAATATATATTTACAGCTATTTCACATAGGTTTTTGAAACTTAAGATGATCATCCTATTTTCATCACACACTTTTTTCATCTTCCATCATATGAAAGAAGGTACAAACATCAACTTTTACATTGAAGAGATTGATAGTAATTTCAATACTTCAAATTGATTGCATTATTTCTATCATCGAACTGTTGTAAAACTGTAGACAGAACTTTCGGATGTTTCGCCAAAGAGAAAAAATTTTGTTTTTTAATTGATATACTTTAAAGAGCACAATTGGTTGAGTCAATCACAAATCCAAAACATTAAGAATATAGATACACGTCCGCCAGCACTCTTTGCTTTAGGGATAGATGTGAGCGTTGATGTTCTAATTACTCATAACAGATGCTCATTCCAAAATAGAGAGTCATATTTCACACTCATACTCACACCCATATCCTTTTCATATGTAATCACAATGAATACAAATCGAACAAATCTTGATTCTTGTGAAACACCTCTACTTTTTCTTCTCCATTTAGAATAAACCAAATCGATTTAAGTTTATCCTGACAAAACTTGATATCATTCTAAAATTGCTTGGAATTTTCATTGATCATATATATTTTACGTTGCAGTGTACATTTATGTACTTGAAAAATAAATCGAACGCAATGAAAGCGCCTCCATTGATAGATTCCCACAGACTTACTTTTGTGAAACTCACATATTTTCGAAAAAAAAA